ATGGAACACAAGAGTCAGTTCCTGTTTGAGGCAACTTTCCAGCACAAAGTGAACACACTAAACTTATCGGCGTAACGGTTTTCCGAAAGAACATTAGTGTACAAGATCGGTAATGATGTCAAAGGAAAAACTATACCAAAAATAAGTCGTCTAACAGAACAACGATTATAGTGGCTATACAGAAGGTTAACTGAAAAGTTCCCTCCTCGTAAACAAACTTCATATCTACAAAATGACCAGCGGTCATCCAGCCGTACCACAAATTCATGAACTGGCGGTTGTAAAAGTCCGATCTACAGCTGTCGTCTCTGTCCAAAGTAATTCACAGTGAAGGGTGAGAAACACAGAAAAGGAAGTGGGAATTATCCTGTGAATCCCGTGAATTTAATGTACTTATTAGCGTCGAACGGGAAACAACCCAGAAGGTGATTGTGAGCACTTTAAGTGACAAGCAGATGGTCTCAATTAAACATTTGGAGTATGACAAAATAGTCGGCATCCGAAATAAAGTCTATTTTTTTGGCAAAGTTTAATAAGAACTTCTGTACAATGCATTCAGATTCTCGAATCAGGGTCGCGTGGTGTGAGGGTAGTCACACTCATCTCACAGTGGGATGCTAAGCTTTAACTAAATGGTGGGTGTTGAAGGAAACTGAATGAATGAATTCCTGTTCAGCAGCACACATATCCCAAGTTCATTTTGTTAGCTGTAGCTAGGTTCACATGATGTCCCATCTTCAAAAAACTGCTATTAGCGCCTTTGGATTTAACTAACTGGAAATGCCCGGAGTGGTGATTTGGGGAGGATAAACGGTTTCCTTGATCAGTGAAGCACTGACAGTGAGTAAGAATAGCCGTACGTGATTTCTAGCTAAAGAGAGAACAGTGAATGGAAGACAACGTTGATCATCGTAGGCATTAACTGGACACCGCTAACCAGCCAAATGATATATTCTTTCATTCTATATTGATCTGGGTTCTCGTCAGCTGCCCTGTCTTCTGATTTCCTGCAGTTCGCGGGTGCTCACCACAGTGTGATATGTTGACCAGTGTGTGGCCTCTAGAAACCACTCTCAGGAGGTCTCAAAATACCTAATCGTCGAACCGCTCCTCATTAGGGGGCAAACAGTAAAAACCGAAATGGTTGCTGAATTTTCCCAAAATTTCACCTGTACCTGAGGGCTTTGTAAAGGGCCTCATAAGAGTGGGGCGAGAATTCTCCTTTTCAGTCACGTTGAATAACCTGTATATCCAGTATTCTTGTATATGTACAAAATTGTGCACTTCTTTGTTGGGTCTTAAGGGAGGAGTGAATACATACATACACACATTCATTCATACTACCATACATACATACATACATACATACATACATACATACATACATACATACATACATACATACATACATACATACATACATAATACATACATACATACATACATACATACGTAACTCGTCCGGGCAGGTCAGGTTATCCATATTTCGAACAGCAATCCTTACCTATAGTTTCACACTTCTGGAATTTCGGAATTCTGTTATTTGTTACCACTTGTTTAAGCAATCCTCCTTTAAGGTAGACATGATTTTTCTGAATGTACTAGGCCAGTATGCGACTAAGACTGGATGTAATCAAGCTTCTGAACAAACCTTGTATGATAACCCTGTAATTCTCTTGGTTGTGTCTGTCCTTTATTCTGCCAGATTCACTGAAATTGATGGGAAGCAGGTCCGGTTCAGATAAAAATGCCAGCCAATCACAAGGAGACACTAGTGATCATGTGTGAAAAGGCACATATACTATTTTATGTATATTCTGCTCCTCAATGTAATTGACATTTAGAACGATGACAGATAATTGTAATGCCCCATATTCTGACCAAGTTTAATGAGGTAATTGACAAGCGACGGGAATTTAGGTGCATTATCGTACTGTGTAGCCATTCCCAATGTCATATCAGTGCGCGCAGTCAGGGAGATGAAGTGTGGTCCCTCTAACATCGTGCGATCTCCTGGTCACATGGATGGTGACTGTTGAACAGAAGACAAACACCCAGTCTTCCGATAGCACACGCACCTGGAGTCGCGTGTGCTGCATCACCTAGTGAACTAACCAATCACTTGCGCGACTGTTTACTGCTTCGCCAGTTCTTTATTGATTGTCATGCATCCCACATATTCTGTACCATCTGAAAGTTTTGGGGTAACAGCTTGGTGGCCAGACTAACTCGCGCCCAACTACCCTATCAGTTAGCTGACTAAAATAGTGAATTCCTAGATAAGGGCGGGGAATTTGCATGCTCCGAAAGGCACTCAATAACATTTGCTACTTCGTTAGGGGTGTACTTCGAGGATAAAAGGGGACAGCAAAGATGACTATCGAGCGGGTGAAAGGTTCTCCCTCTGCGCCTGAAAGCCAATGAAGAAAGGAGTCAAAATCGATGTAGTAGATAGCTGTGAATCTGTGGCCTCGGATCTTTTACGGAAACTTTGAAATCCGCCTCAGCATTATTCAATGGACGAGTTTTCCATGCTCATTAAGTATAACCCACATAACAGAAACGACAATTTCCGCGCCCAATTCGCGCCAATTTTTTAAACCGCTATCTTAAACAACACTTTTAGTCCCGGAGGCGTTAGATCTGTATTTTAATGTGCCTAACCTTGTACCTAGTACGTGAGACTGAGCACTGCTCATGTGTGATCCCCCTGGCGTTAACTAAACTTCAACAGGCATATCACAGGTTTCCAAAACATACGGAAATTTCATAAAGTGTGTGTTAATCAAATCATAAATTCACTCATGTTTATTCACGAGGATATCAAAATGACGGAAATCGATGACAGAAGAATATCCTGGAAATCGGGAGAGGTTTCTCACGCTTCTTAGCTAACGAGAGATGCAACAAGAGATGTCTGGTTCAGTTACACTTGCAGTGCAACAGTGGCGGGCTTATAAGTGCCTGCAGCACAGACGGACATGATTCGTGAGAGCTAAAATGTTGAAGCTCGATTTTGTTGCTGCTAAAGTCCGATCAGAATAAAACAACATAACTTTCCACTCTTCATCACTCTGATTTATTTACAACTTTGTTGTTTTTTCCAAAAATGGCAATAGTTCACTGACCTGTTGGTCAACAGGCGGTTGCGCACTGTTCCCGTACTGTTTTCAAAACGGACCTTAAACCAAACGAATCCCTGCGATAAAAGCAAATGTGTCTCTTTTAGACAGGAGCCGGTACGGTCTAGACAAAGATTTTCTGACAAAATCGCTGACATTATGCCGGCAACTGATTGTGTTTATACATTAAAGACGTATGAACAGTTCAACAGCATAGATTTAGAACATTTCATTAGACCATGAAAACCAAACCATCTATTCGAATCAAACACGGATATAATGCTGTACTCTATAGACTCTCATTCCAGAGCGAGTCCTCTGACTCGACCGCACATCAGTCTGACTCTCTCGTCACTTACCATATACTCCGTGCAATAAAAGACGTGAGCAGTTCCCTATCTTTGAAGCAACTCTGATCAGTTTGCTGCATACAAGGCACTCATTGATGTCCTAGCGGAATGTGCCAGCTATCATCGTAATGAACTGCTGCATTCATAGTGAATTCACGTTGTCTCGATCCACTATACCATTTGTGCTATAGGAACAGGTGAATGGAACGAGGTCTTGTAAAGCCTCATGCGTCGTAGTAAACAAACCAACTGGTTGACGTGAACGAATTTTGAGAACGATTAATTGAATATGGTGGTCGAGATCAAACAGAACGGCAGGCTAACTGCAACAAAAGCTAATACAATCGAAATTTTGAAAGCGGCACAACTCCTCATGTTGAATGATTAGGAAGTAAACAGCATGGCCTCGAATTTTCGGACAGGAAATTTCTAGGCAATGATTTGACAGCGTGAAGCGAAAGAGGCTAGAGCCAAAATGTACTCGTGAACGTTTTTCTGCTATATGCCAGGAGTGAATTTCGCAGTGTACAAAGAATGCCAAGCCATTCCTGCTGANGTGGGTTTGTTTCAAAGTCGTTTGACGGTAAGACCCTGTTTTCTTGTTTGCCTTCACCAAGGAAACAGGACGTTTGGCACAGAACCCCTCCCCTCGCGACCCAGCCTGATATACACTCACTTCCACGTCAAAGTGCTGACGCTTGTGGTTCATTGATAGTTTTCGAACTGGGAATTCTAAGGAATAATTAACCCATGGCTTGAACATCAGCGCAAGCCTTACTGATGATCCTTATCATGTTCAGAGCAACTGTCTTTCTGAATAAACTCATTTACAAACAAATTTGCTTTTTGAGAGAGAGTGGTGCATTACAAACATATATGGCTGTCTTGCTGGTTATGGTTAGCTTGCAACTGGAGGAATGGTGCCAATGTGAAGTCAACAAATGCCAGCGGTCATCTACTGTCGAACCTATTCGTTCAATCTGAATGACAGCCCCCCTCCCATCACAACGGATTTAGAATTGGGTTGTGTTTCTGAATGCAACGGAATACACAAAAAACAACAATCGTAAATGGATTGATTCCCTTTATTTTCATCGAAGACATACTTCTATAAGGAAACGCATTCATCTTCAAAGTCCTCTGGTAAACAAAACAAATAGATAAAAGCAAGATTCTACTGAGCATTGGCATTCTATAAACATTAGCATAGTTAGTTCTTTGTCTTTGATCAACCACAGAAACCCGTGGAATAAAAACCGAAATAAAAATAAAATGAACAATGTGTTATCAGCGGAAAAGTGAGGGTTTGTGAGAATTCACGGCTGGAAGTCACAAAAAAGGAGCAGAGGTCATGTGGCTGCACCTCAAGACCGTCGTGGTAGCAGACACATGGGCTTTAGTTCAAATGAAGGCCATTATAATTAAGCAAAGATTTTATAGCTAAACAACCAGTCAGTCGTGTTACGAGACAGCTGGCAGGGGGGTGTTGACAAACGCGGGACATTATCTTCTCACCTTCTGATTGCAGTCAAGCCGATCGCACAATGACTCGCGTGCCGGTCACACAACGCGAGCTGATCAGAGCCAACAGGGCAACTTGCAGTGCAAATACACAGCCGATCACTGTGACGAAATTGGACCACTCCGCGCTGAACTTGCCATTGTAGATCAGGATGCCTATCCATAGGCATACCGTGCCCAAGTAGAGTAGGATAAATCGAGCTGTTAGGTACCCGGCGCTGACGACGACGCCATCGGAGCAACATCCAATCAAATCTAAAAGGAATACAATCGATAGGCAGACCACACCAGCAAGCAGGAGGGCTAAAACAGCAATGATCAAATCGCGCTGTCCGTGGCGTTGACAACTCTCAAACAGGTTCCCACATCTCCAATATGAGGTTGCAACTCCAAAAGCAACAAGCCCGATCGCGATACCGAGCAGCACTGTGCCAAGACGTCGAATTTCGATCATGGTGTCGGTCTAAGTGGCTTGTGTGTTCACAATCAGCGGTTTAAACAACTGGTTGTTGGTGTGCGACCGGTGTGTGGAGTGTCTTGGGCATTCGCACAAGCCTACACACCAGTCCAACCGACTGACCAATAATCATCTGAATTCGGCCGCCAATCGCCATGGCCGGACCGGACGTACGCTAGTCCTGACCGTAGTTCCCAGCTTTTCACAGTGCTGGTACCTTGACTACTAAAAATAACTGAATTAATCTATTGCAGATACACACGGGCGACCAACGACCACTGCGGATGTTGGCGTTGCTCGGCCCAATCGATTAACACGATGAAATTAACGTGACCGAAGTGTGTACTGCATGTTTTGTTACCACCACCCGATCTGGACGAACAGATTCCGAGCTGGTATGACGTTGAATGTAGGCGGTGTGAAACTCGTGCTGAATTTCCTGTATGTATATTACATAGCCTGTAGAAAAGTGCATTCGTATGACAATAGATTCAGTAGTGGCGGATCGAAAATGCAATATATATATTATCGTGCAGTCTCAAACTTTTCGCACAATGTGTTGCTTGGGATAGTACAGTAAATGAAAAAGTGGGTTTACGTTGTCCGTACTGCGAAGCAGAGAATAGTTGTGCATCTTTCAGTAGCCTAAGGCATGCATGCAATTAAATTAACTCGTTAGTAAAGTAGAACACCTGAAAATTAACTTCAATACTAGTGATTATTTGACTGGTACAAAAGTAGCAACCGAAAATCGGGTGTTGAGGTTGCGAGTGCTAATCACGCAGGCGTTTAGTAGGATGTCACCAACGATGAAGCAGCTTTACTGTGCTTCTCATTTTTTTGGCACAAACTGACTAATTTACGGGGCAAAATCGATGAAAATTCTCGAATCTTCTGGAGCTAACAACAAACTACACACAAACGTTCGAAAATTTGATGTTTAAATTGGACGCCTTTAGAAACAACATGGAAAGGGGGCATTTATTTGGCCATTACAGAAAATATTCACTTCGTCTATAGGCTATGCCGCTTGTGGGATAGTATCAAAAAACGCACCGCAGATTTCTGTAGAAACGCTATTTCTTCAGAAAGGTTTTCTGGCGTTGTGAACAACGGGATTGGTCATAGACTGATGCTGAAGTTTGGGACACACCGGGAATGGGGAAGAGTGAGCCCAACGAACAGAAAACATTTCAATACGAAAGTCACATTTCCAACCCCATCGCACTTGTTGGTTCGTCATTCTGTGGCACTAAAACACGGGTTCTTTTCCGAACAGGTCAACAAGACCCAGTGTCAATCATTCGTTTTAGCTTGTTTGCTTCCCTGATTAGTATATAAGTTAACACCAGAGCGGGGAACAAATCTCGTGACAAACGAACCGTAAAACCTGAGTGAATAAAGGCATGCTATCTATGGATGTCTATAAGATATGAAAGTGGATGACACAAACGAACCCAGTAGGTTCAATACGAATTATGTTTTGATGGTTGGAAGAGAACTTGCTCAAGCAATTCGAATTTGTATTTCCCTTACTGTTATACATTTTCGGAAATAATGCTTATTTATAAATACAAGCAGAACTAACGAAATACGAAACTTGGAGATATTTCCTCTGAAAAACAGTTTCATGCTCTAGATTGGATTAGTCGATTACAGCATAGTTACTAGAGTATTCCGGATCAGTATGTGGGAATTTACCAGCCGACCAAATTTATGCACGGTTAAGAATCGATCGCAATTGGTACGCTGCTGTGTACCAGTCACCAATATGTCATCAGGACTGTAGATAGAGTGCCCATTTCCGTTTCACACAACTGGCTACAAAATTGTCCAGATGTCAAACCGGTCACGTGAAAGCTAGGCATGATAAATCATTTCGGAAGGTTTGGACCCGAAAGAATATTCAATTCCGGACGGTCGGAGTGACAGCAATTTCAGTGGTGAGCAAAATCATTTAGAAGAGGCCGTTCATTGTAGATGAGCGTTATTGATGTCAGATTTATCGATCGCGATAACAAACTATTTTTGTCTGTGAGTGGTAGGAAGTTGAACCAATACTCCTTCACTGTCACGGGCCAATAAAGTTATAAATTGAACTTAGTACATTAATCCACGCCGAGAAATAAATTTTCATGACCCATTACATAAATGGCCGTCTGTTAATTGATTATCACAATTCATTATTACTACCTAATGGAAGGAAAACGTGAAGGCCGGTATCACCAAAAAGTCGATACTTACTGGGAGATGTGCATCTAATCCCCTCGTATACCTTTATGTCAAGCTCCGTACTCTGACTCCGTAACCATCGTTAGGAACGAAATTGCGTCAAAGGGTTGCTTGATCTGAGTTATCCCCACAACATAAACTAGGGATTCAATTGAGTCTCTCGCGTTATCCGAACTTAGACTCAAACGAGTGTGTTTATCGACGGAAACTCGGGAAGCGCTCCCACAGAATGAGCACCAAGAAGGGCGAAACCGGTCGCGTGCTATCAAAGAGTTTTAAGCAGACTTGGTAGTATTTTCGTAAAAGAAACTACTCACAAGGTTGCTGAAAACTCTTCGACAGATCACGACCGGTTTCGTCTTTCTTGGGGATCATCAGGTAGGCACAGTCCCGAGTTTCCGTCAACCTCATGTTCTACTTGAGCCCAAATTGGACTGTTTTCGAGAAATACACTCATTGTAGAATATAATGAACGAGAGATTCAGTTAAGTCTCTCGTGAACACCAAACTAATTCGCAAATGTATTTCTCGAAAACTATCCAAATTGGGTTCAAGTTGAACATAAGCTGACGGGAATTTGGGGGCTCCGCCTCAAGAAAGGCGAAACCGGTCGTGGGCTGTCGAAGAGTTTTCAGCAACCTTGTGGCTAATTTCCTTCACGAAAATATACTGCGAGATCCCGAATATCGTGCCAACTGAATCATGAGGCGGCCTGCGTGCAGCATATTCAGTTGTAAAATATCAAAAACGAGAGATTCAGTTGAGTATCCCAGGAAAAACCTTGGCAGTAGTTTACTTTATGAAAGCACACCGCGATATTTCAAACATATCACCAACCGAAACATGACGCAGACTTTGTACAGCACTTTTAGTTGAGGAATATCATAAAGTAGATGTTAAACTGAGTTCCCTATGATATGCAATTGAGTTTATTTGTCGAAAACTGTCTAGTATTTTTAAGCCTGGAATTCGCATCCACTACTCGTTCGAAAATGTCCATTATTCTGCTGGTTGCAAGCATAACTGCCGACTGGCCGCTTTGGCGAAACCAGGCATCACATATATACTTCCATTCAATTCGAGCTTTGCGATAAAAATTTGCACCATCCAAGTTGGTCGTGCTGCATACAACCTTAAGAGACAACTACAGTCAACTCTGTGGATTATCCATTACAGATATTCGACCCAACCTTTTTGGGGAACAAAACAGATGCACTGATTGTGCAGCCTCCCATGTGATGTTGTACACAGATATAATGGTGATAGAAGGAACGATTCACTAGAGAAATTCAACAGGGTCACAAGCAAGCAACCCGCAGCTGCTACTCTAAGTACCTCGTACTGATAATCTAGCATTCTGGGAAACAGAGCCGTGAGCATTGTTAGCTTCGGTGACTAGTTGGTTTGATTTTTACAACCAAATAGAAGCAGAACTTAAAATCACTTGAGAGAATAGAGTTTGGCATTTTATTAGGCGTACGACTGTCACCGGCTGTTTTTGAAGACCATGATCAAAAACATAAAATTGGTGGACGGATAGATGTAGTACGATGAGCAGGAGAAAGATTTAAATGAGAACCGTTCCACTGGAAGACGCGCCATCAACAGTTTCCTGCAGGATGAAATGATCTCAAACGCCTATAAGAATGCTTGTCATGGAAACACGTATAAAAGCAACAAGTGAAGGAAGAACAAACAAGTCTGAATACCGATCAAAGCTTATTGATTGCTAGTGCACTCAAGGTCAGCACTTCAGACGCGTTGTGTCCGTCAACCACGGTGAGGGGTGAAATTCATTGGCATGACGCAATGCTAAACGCAACTTGTCGTGCATACGTAAAGCTCAAAATGGTAAGAAGACGAAGGTCACTCCCTAAAGATGGCGCATCCCAGTTGACGGAGACGTCTTCCGAGTTCCCCCGTAACCTGACTATAGGAACCACATCGACCATCATGTGTGATCCGGCAGGACTGCATAGTATACACCAATACCTCCGGGTGACATGAGTTTCCATGAGAGAAGGTCATCCGGTCACCTTAACCATCCAGGCCTTTTCTTACTGTCGTTCTGAGAGGGGTCCACCGGAGATGGATACCCCGAGTGAATGACGAATGAAACAAGCATTCTATGGACTGGAATGTACACGAGCAAATGTCTATCTCGGTGTGGGATAGATCCTTGTTGGCTCAATTCTTTAAGACGGCTTCTACAATACATTGGCCACTTCATTTATGAGTTTCGATAGCTGGTTTCGTTGGTAGCAGACTCTTCTCCACTTAAAAGTAAAAGGAACACTCAAGGATGTCGTCCTCCGGAGGAGTGATAAGTTTCTTGTCAATTCATAAGTGGTAGAATGAAACTCGAGTCACCCGAGATGCCCTGTCCTCCCAAATGACAATTGGTGTGGTCTTTCGGAAGTCAACCGTCACTCCGGTCCAAACCAACCCAGGTCAGCAGATTCGAGGTTCTCTTTAAAATAACTCGAACTTTGAAGTAACTCTGAGGACGCTGTCCAGTAGTCAGCAAAAGCGAAACTACCTACTATTTTATCCTGGAACTGGTAGCCCAGTTGCAGCCCCGACAGTCGAAGAGCTTCGACCATCGTCATGATGAACAATATTGGGGATGTTGAAACAGAATTCTAATAAGACTGTGATGTATCGAGATAGGTGTGACATTTCTTCAAATGCTTCAGCAAGTCTGACAACTATGTCACGAAGAACCAAATCGAAGGCCTTCAGGATGTCAGCAAAACTAAAGACTA